TCCTAATTCACTCATTTACCTGAGTTCCTCCCATGAGGAGCCTGGAGCACTGCCAACACACACACACACACACACACACACACACACACACACACACACGCACGCACGCACGCACGCACACACACACACACACACACACACACACGCATATATTAAAGCGTTGAAGCAGCTGGTGAAGTCCAGCCGTATGCCCATTAAATGAGGCAACATTTCACAAATTTGTATGTACGTGTGTGTGTGTGTGTGTGTGTGTGTGTGTGTGTGTGTGTGTGTGTGTGTGTGTGTGTGTAAGGTAACAGTATTCACACTGTGCGAAGCTGTGGGTGGGTGGGGTGAAATCCATAAATCTTTCAGGTCTAAACAAAAACAAAACAGCCATAAATAATGCAATGTGCAATCATGACACTAAAAACAGAACCAGAAATGACTTCCACAAATTGTGATTCTCTTAATTTATGGACTTATTTATTTATGGAGTTACTTTGACTAGGGTTTTTAAAATGATTGCAAAGGCCTGAACTTGTTTTGTTTCGTTCATTTACTTGATCTTTCCAGACACAAAGTCCATTGTATGTGGGCTCATTGCTTGTAAAACTTGGTTGATTAAATACTGTATTTCCCATATTTAAGATTATTACATCAACATTTTCATTTGAGTATTCTCCAAAAATGTTTTTACACATTTACGATTTTACTGCAGGTGACAAAACAGCTTCCTACATTTAATAAAGTCTATAAATATAAATATTGATGATTAATATGCAATCTCACATACTGTTAGACTATATCATCATATTTTTGCATCTGTTCAGGTGATGAGACAGCTGACTCATCCAGCGGTCGAAGTCCAGAGATGAAGAACGTGGCTCCTCCTCCTCCTCGTCGCCCCATTCCCCCTCATCACCTCTCACCTCCACAGGTAGGTGTCGGCCATTCCTCCTTTCACAGTTTGATTCACTGATGACTCAGTGTCTCAGCCTGAAGTCATAGCTTATCATATCAGCACAAAATCAGAAATTGTATGAACAACAGTCCAGACAGTAAGTGAACATCACAGGTTTCTTGTAGGAAAGTGGTTAGCGGGGATGATTATCGCTCTTTGAAGACTGCAAATGCACACTAGAGCTAATTCTGCTCTCTTTTCTTCTTGGGATAATGAACATTTTCCGCTGATTACCTTTGCAATTCATGCAGTTTAAGGCATAAAAACAGCCTCAAATGTTGATCTCCTCTCAGTCATTCTGGTTCGTTAGAAACTCTGCATTAGTTATGCATATACACATACACATACCCACATGCACAAATGGCATTGACACACACACATGCATACTGCTACCCGGTATCAATACATTTTGTCAACAGAATAATAATCAACAATTTATTTATGATTGTCATGAACCATATGTCCTTCTTGTACTCTTTACTCCATTTCTCTATTCTTCCCTCACTCTCTTCCAGTATAATTTTGTATCTTATTGCATATTTTCTGTCAGGTGGCAGTTCGAGGATCAGCCCACACGATGACTGTTGAACCTTTACCTTTGACCCTGGTGACCCTGCTGCTTCTACTGCTGTCCACATGGGAACCACGCTGACCATCGTGACACAGATCCTGAGACGGACAGAGACAGAAGAGACTGAGAGACAACCACAAACTGTATGTCTTGTTGTGGTGTTTGGTATTTGGAGTTTCTGTAAGCACAGCTGAACCACTCTGATTGTTTTTGTTTTGGGTGGCGTGGCTGGTGTGACAGGCTGTGGATTTATCACAGCTGCAGGTGCACAGTATGCATTTTTATATTACCTGTACTGACCTCTACATGTGTTTTGTTTTTTTATTTAACTTCAATAGGATAGATTGCACAGCACTACTGACTTTTTTTTTGAAGAGAGATGTAAATACAAATATATATATATTATATATTTATATGAAAAGTTTCTATAGATAACAATGGCTTGATGTGTAAATAGAGATTAATATAGAACAGAGCAGATTGACTTGGAAATTAAGAGATGTTTGGTTTGCTTTGACTTTTACATTATGTGTACCCCACAGAGATTAAGATCCGTGGCAGCTATGAGCCACGCTGTAGGCCTTCACTTTTTATATTTACTCATATCCTTATATTTTGTGAGAACTTATTAATGTTAAAGAAAACTCAGCATGAAGAGCAAAACATAGGCTGGAAAAAGGACATTAAGGCACTTTCTCGATAGGCAAAACAGCCAATTATGTGATACTTCAGCCCATTCACAGATGGTCATGCTGCATAATGAAAATTTCTGCAGTTTGGCCTGGAAGTCTGTGCAGACTGAAGCCCTTGTGGCACTTTTTTTTTTTCTTAACACAAACATGGTCTTTTGTTCGTGCAAGCTGGGTGATTTCTTTTTCATTTCTGCAGTAAGTGTTCAGAAGAATTTAAATTTCCCTCAACAGAGAGTGTGTCCCCTGGAAGTTTGTCATTTCTAGGTGTGTAATACCTTTCATAGTCTTGGTAGTTGTGGGGAAAAATGATTGAGGACTGTTTTCTTCTGAAGATGGACAGTGGACAGAGTCATAAAAGCACTACAGAGAAGGATATAACTCTTTCACTTCAACTTCAATTCCACTTGCAAGCTGCCACAGCCGTCCTTGACAGGAAGCTCTGTTAAAATCAGAATATCCCAAACAATAAGAAGCACCCAGTACAAGAAAAGACTAAATATGGCCGTCATTTAAGAAACAGAAATAATCATCTGCCTGAACAATGAATAATTTGACATTTCATTGTCATTCATTGCAAACACTGAACTGTCACAGTGATTTCAAAGAGTGGCTGGTCTCCAAATGTATTAATTAAAACTGCAGTGAGAGAATATATTAGACATCCAACAAAATGCAGTGAATGCTTTTTGTAGGTCTGATACGTGTGTCATCACTTTGTCTATGCATCCAGGGAAGATGAGACACAGGGTATCAAGAGAGTGATCAGTGCAGAGCTGAGCCCAGATCCAAACATGTGAATTAAATGTAATTCATATTAATTAGGATTATCAAGTCCTCCCGGGTCTCTGAGTCTCTAACCCCCCAAACTGCTCACAACAGCAGGACTGACAACCTGAATACTGATCAAATGCATTCAAAACAGAGCAAACGAACCAACCGAAGGAACGCCGTGTGCATTTCTGTCAGTGGGTGACTGACTTTCTTCTCAGACATATCACACTGTGTTGCTTGTATTAACTAGCTCAGATAGATGTGAGAAAGTCATTTCTGTCCTTGATTTTGTGCTGCAAAACAGCAGAACTCTCATGCATGTATCGTACTGACACTCACCTGAGACCGTTTATTTGTGAAGGAATGTGACTGACAGATGAGACAGCTTAAGGAATACTGTTAAGAGTTTGTGCGAGTTATCTAGGCAGCGAGCCCAGACACCACGTTAGCTAGCGGGATGCTTTCACAACATAATGTGCCAAACAAATGTGTTATTATTTGATTAGAGTTTAAACGTTGTACCCAAATGAGATGAGATTTTGGACTCAAGCCAACCCTTCCATCTTTCACAGCCCTTCTCTAGGCAACCTTGTACATAAACAAACCACCACCATGCACAAATGCACATACAGAGACCTTAAAGGGGATAAGTGCATATTTACAGTGTGTGGATGTACACAGTTTTATTGTTTCTCAGCCTGTGATAAGACCAGTGTGGGCTATTGACAGTGATTTTGAAATGTAAAAGATATATTTTCATATATTTTATATGCTTATAAACTTTGTAACACATAAAATAATTTAGAGCTCTCTTGGGTAACAGTTCAAATTAAATCATCTGGAAAGTGAAGATAAAACTGATAATTCAATGTTACAGTTTGTCATTCTGTGGATGCTCACCTTCTCTTAGGAGTCACAAACTGTTATCTATGGATCGCAGCTTGAAATGTCAAGAAAGCTTTGTAGTAAAAGGTGTGTGAATCTCTAAGCAGACGTGAGGCTGAAGGATGTTTTCATATCAAAGTGTTAAGTGGCACAGAAATTATGTTCTCTTGTTCCTCTAGTGCTGTGCTGCCATGACGGTTGTCCATGTGTGTTTAGGCACGCTGGTGTGCCAGGGAGTGAGCTGTAGGTGTCATTGTTAAATAAAACCAATAAATGTACTTTATCCAAGTTTAACAGCTCTCTTAGTTCAGTATTACTAATGTTTTGTTGTAGCGGTATGCAGAGCCACCAGGATGCATGAAGCAACCAGTCAGCAGCTACGGTTTCTCTCACGACACTCTGAAAACCACTGAGCTAATGTAAACTAAAACCAGTGACTCTGATGTAAAGCGTAAATAAACCGACTGTAATACACTGTGTCCTGCTACTCTGCTGTGTCAATAATCATCAGTTTAATATCCTCAGTAATAAACTGTGTTTTCAAACTTATGTTGTACTTTTGTCTTTCATATGTTGTGTAACAGTCGCAGTGGAAGATGTGCATGGAAGCCACAAACAGAACTGAAACATGGTGGAAAAACATGATCTGACAGAATGAATGTAGCCTCATCATGAGCCAGTACTAATGATAATTAGAAATGTATTTTAATTTAAATAAATAATATGTAAAAAAAAAAAAGTGATCCTATAGTTAACACCCTAATAAACAGTTTTACACCTTTTGTTTCCCCTTAAGTAGCTTTAACATCGAAATGCTCTCACTGCCTGATAATATCACATACACTATATGTTCTGTATGAGCATGGTCCCACTCTGATTGACACTACATGATGTTCACACTTGCGTGATTTACTACACCCAAGATGGTTGCATTATTCTATCAAATTGTAATATTCTAGATGTCTTGTGCATCATTTCATAAGATCATATTTGGTGTCTGGAAACTTTGGGCTCTCCACTTTTTGTTAACTCTGTTTATCAGAATATTTTACAAGCAGTGCATCCACCACATCAGGATTTTGGAGCCATCAGAGCCTCACATACTGTATATATAATATGGGGATGCAGCCACAGCTCTTTGGCCTCTGGCTCTTTGTGAGAGATTACTGTGATTGGATTGGCATGGTCAGGAAGTTGGCACAGATTTTCTGGTTGGCACTGTAAACTGCCAGGGGGATGATGGGAAATAAAGACATCATTGAATGCAAATTGCCACAGAGGGGAAGATGGAGGCAGGGAGAGACAGCATGAAGGAGGGAAGACTGAGGAGTGTTGCCATCCCTCATCCTGAAGTTGGCACCATCAAGACCCATCCCTCCAGTCAACGACTGCTGTGTCAACATCTCTTTAAATGCAATATTTTACTAATTTTAATATATTATTGTTGGTTTTTCTTTAATGGGAATTGTCTTTTCTCCTTCACGGTGTAGTGCACTGCTTTGATTAATTACCTTGAAGTGAATGCGTGATGCACATCAGCCAGAGATGCACAAAGGGCCACTACACCCTGCAGAAGAACAAAAAAGCAGGAGGCAGGAAGGGTGAGAGGTGAAAGAGGTACATGACTTAGAGAAAGAGCGAGACAGGACATATGCAGGATGTTGTTTTCGAGAAGCTGGTGAGGTTTTCTGCCAGCACTAATGAAATCAGAGCTCTGATTATTTAAAGACTGTCTGGGGATTATGATTGATGTTTGTGCTATTTAAATCACATTTGTGTTCCTATCCTCACCAGTGTTTTCAGCCTTCAAGACACGCATTATATCAGATTACTTACTGTGCACATGTTGCAGCTCCACATGATTTTATTGTTGTTTTAGCTATAAAAATGTGACCAGAGGCTTTCTTGATATTGAGAGCCTCCACCCAGAAGCACACCTCCTGCCTTATAGACAAAAAACAACACAACAGGATTTATAATTGAAGTGCTATTTCACAACTATAAATGCATGGACATATATTTATCTCTACTGAATGACAGCAACCTGAGAGTGAAAAACAAACTCTTCTCGTTCACATCAGTGAGCGAACCCTCCAACATTGGATCTTTTGCCTCTCTCATCCCACGGGTGTTCAAATCTTTCAGTTACTCCCATTGGAGCTGATAATGTGAAAAGTCCATTGTTAATAAACACTTCAGCGTGTGTAAAAGATCCTTAACTGCTGGTGGAATCTAAACGGCAGTGGCGTGCCACTACACTAAATTTGGATTGGGTGTTTGGGAGTCATTTAACCCTGAAAGCTGATCAACTTCACAGTGGCTGGCAGCCTCCTTATATCCAAAGTCTATAATGCCAAGATAGAGCAGCTCTGCTCTGAAGCAATTAGGGATTAAGTATCTTGCTGAAGGGCACTTTAACCTCAGTTTCTGTGTGAAAGGAGAGCACTGAGTCATCTAACTCACCTTTACACATTCATATTATCATTCTAAACCATCCCTGCAATGAATTAAACCACAAACTGTTAACTGTAATATTATGCTATTAGCTCAGTGAGGCTGTACGTGGGCAGACTTGTTTAGCAGGTCTAATGCTGACCATGTTCAGCATCTTAGTTTAGTGTGTCAGCATGCTAACATACGCTAATTAGCATCAAGTACAACTGAGGTTGATGGGAACAGGTTTTGCAGGTGTACTCTCGTGAACCACGCGATTGGACAAATTGTGTTTTGGCCCTAACTGTACTACATGGAAAGATATCCAAAGGTATCACAATTCATGCTGAGGGATGATTTTCACTCAAATCAACAAATGTCAGCCTTCTGGGGGCACTGGGGAAAAGTAGGGATCACTAAGATCGGTAAGATTTCTCATACAATCACTTTGTTGATTCGAATTGTTTAATGTAATATAGTTCAAAGGTCTGTAATCGCAGTCTTACCCAACAGCACCAAGTTAAGCACAAGTTCACAGAGCAAGGGTGAATGTAACTAAGACTAAACCTCCCTGACTAACACGAACAAAAAAAACAGGACATGGGGTCACTGGTCTTGTGTTGAAACCTGTCCCCCCTTCAAATGGTGTTTCTCCTTACCTATATCAGAACCCAACCTTACCCTGGCCCTATCCACTGCTATGCCACATAAACCAAGCCCTAACCCCAGCCACTGACATTATTTTAATGAGGGAAACACTATTGAACAGCTTGGCCGCCACTCAGCGAGCACGATGTAGACTGCGCCATAGCACCCTGGGTATGACCACCACTTCTCCTGAGCCTTGGGATCTAATGCCAACCACTTACATCAGAAAGTTATGATTTTTCTGAGGCCTTTGTGTTCTTTTAATACGTTTTTGATGGGGAGGTAATGTACTATGAATCACAAGTTAGCTGACAACGGTGCTCTGCTAAAAGCTAACGATTCATTCGTCGACAAAGGTGATTCAGAACAGTCAGTTCGGCTGGAAGATAATGTGTTAAAGATTTGTTCATACATGCAGTTGTGATATTACAGTCATGACTAAAGACAGACTAACAGACACTGCCTTTGACTTTGGCCTTCTTCATTAACTTCACCCTGTTTTCAGGCTGACAGTTCACATGGACTTGGATGGCAGCCAGTCATTCACTCCCATAGCATTATGTCAGTGTTTATTGGCTACAGCTGAGCGATCTTATCTTGAATGACAGATCGTTTTGAATGAGGGTGGCAGGTAAGCTATTAAAATTTCATCATCTGTATGATTTATTGTTTGTAGTGTGTGTACAGTTTGTAACAGGTGTTAGTGTGTGGGTAGGCTTTGTGATGGACACATAGAGAGTGCATGCTGTGTCTTCAACAGTTGTCGACCGCTATTTATCATCTCCAGGTTTAGTTGGAGTCCTGTCGCTGCCGATGCTACCAGGAATGACTGACATGTGTGTCAAGAGTGCCATTGGTTTCAAATCTGCTGAGAAGGAAATATCTGTCATTCTGATTTACAAGCTTGAAAGGAGACAGAGTAGAAGCGAAAAATACTTTGCTGCAGCTCAGACCCACACACACAAACACACACTTACAGGTCGCCATGAGCAGGTCGCAGCAGGCTAAGCTGCTTTGTCTTTCATTATTTTTCTCTCTGACATCTTCATGCTCTGATGCATCGCAGGCATGCTCTTGGAAATACAGAGTGCTATGATGTATGATATGCATGATACTAGAAGGGTTTGTGTGTGAGGGCATGTAGAGAGTAAGGTGTAGAGGATGGCGAATAGGGAATAGATTGAAAAATGGCGAGTATTAAAGTATTAAAACTTTCTTCTTGAGAAAGTGTGGGCTTAGTTAAGGGCAGATAAAATAGGGCAGGAAGCTCAGATGAGGAGAAAATGGAAGAGAGCAAGACTGAGGCTGAGTTTAAATGAGTTTGAGAACGAGTTAAGCCGATGAAACGGGTTCAGTCTTGTGGTTAATTCCGATGTGTGTATCTGACCTGGCCCAACAAGCCTCATATCAGCGAGCCAGTTTGGAGGTAATGTTCTTGCCAGTCTGAGTGGTACCAGATTGATCTATGTCACAAACAGAGACTGAATGGTTTATTTGTGTGACCTAACTGACAACATTTAGACACCACTGACTCCGTGGTCTGAGCCAACACTGAAATCAAATGTGGTGCCAAAAAGAAAGCGGAGATGACACTTGTACTCATCCACAGACAGTATCCACATTGTTCTTTTGTTGCATGAACGACCTAAATATTTGTCTGATATCAGTTTAAACCAGTTTCCAACATTGGTGTTTTAATCTGACATTTAATATATCACTTTATGTAGATATGGAACACAGCTGTCTGCTCCAGATGGATTATACAGATGTTTTTGTTTTACCATGCTGATAATAGTTTCAGAAAAGCTTCTCATCCAAAAGCTGGCTGCATCAATTAGTTTCCAAAACAAGAAGATGTCAGTCATTGGAATATGAAGACAGGTACAGTTTGTGTACTGCATGGAAAAAAAACAGACATTTGACTTGTTACCCATCGCTCTGTTTCTATTTACTGGTACAAAACAATGTCTTTTTCCCGACGGCTAAAATGGTTGGTATGTGCCAATCTCTTTTAACACATTAATCCTAACGGCACTTAGCCTGCCAAGGCAATAACTCACCGGCTGGATTAACACTTGCCCTGACGTTACACTAGGTGTGTGTGGGACTGAGCATGTGTATGTGGGATTAAGTGAAAGGGTAGTGTAGTGTACGCTTTCCTTTGAATGAGGTGGCCTGTGAAGGTGTGTTCTACAGATGACCCGAAGCTGAAGCTGAACCTGTGCCTATTCTTGCCAAAACAAATGGTGTGTTTGTTGTGAAAGTTGCCCTCACACAGCCAACAAAGGGGTAAATACCAGTCATCGGGATATCATGTGATGTTTAATTTCAATTCACGATGGGAAAATGTACTAGGTTATTGATATAGACGGATTCTTTTCTATTTGTTTCTCTGTAATGGCCTGTGCTTCAACATGTTCCAGCGACCTCAATCAAATATAATGTACATACAGCGTGGTCACAACGTGACAATTCCTGACTTGACAAGTTGATCATGATCAACTAAGTACACAGGGGACAGCTCAACATGTCACAGCAGGAAAAACACACATGGAAATAATAAAATAGGTTGTTTGTGCTGGCTTGCTGCCACAGTCACCAGCAGCATTCAGCTGCATTTCGAGGTGCCTCAGACAGGCCATCCATCCATCCATCCATCCATCCATCCATCCATCCATCCATCCATCCATCCAGAATGCAGCAGGCTAAAGGCCAAGTCATGCTTTTCGCCTGGCTCTTCTGGGCAAGTCAGTCCAGATGTCCGTCTCTCCAGCAACATTTTCCAGCTCCTCCTGAGGGTTCCCAAGACATGCATTTCCAAGCCAGATGGAATATGTAATCCCCCCAGCCTGTTCTGGGTCTACCCTGAGGTCTCCTACCAGTTTGATGTGTCCAGAAAACCACTAATGGAAGGTGACCAGGACACATCCTTATCAGATGCCCGAGCCACCTCTTTTCAATGTGAAGGAGCAGCAGCTCTACTCTGAGATGAAGTCTGATCTACTTTCCTACCTCTAAGGGTATCAGACATGACATGACATGACAACATTAAGAGTTTTGGGCTTCTTCGCTTATTTACGGGGTTCAGCGTACAATACAGAGATAAAATTACATCCAATCAAACTATATTGTCACCTTACAAATTTTTGGGTACTTTTATGGCTTTATTTCTGTGTCAACAGTAGTGAAGGAACAGGAAATAATGGAAGACAGAGATGGGAAATGACATGCCACACAGGGCTGCAGCTGAGGTCAAACCAGAGATGTTGCTGTTTATGGTGAATATCTAACCCCTAGGCCACCGCACTGTGTCTGAATGGATCTGGCTTTTTGCATTGTGATGCTGAAAGAGGAAAGGAACTTCTGTTGATACGAAGATAGAAGAAGTCAGAAGAATAATATCGTCTAAAATATGATTGCATTTTGTAGCATTAAGAGTGCCGATAACTGGAGCTAAAGAGCCTAAGTGAAACTATGAAAATAACCCCAGACAAGGACATTTAGTGCAGGGACACTAAAGTTTTTACTGTCTTGTGCATTAACTTGTCCATAGTATGACATTAAAAAGTACTAGCACATTGTTACAAAGAATAAAGACTGGAGAACAATGAGTTTTTAATCTTTTTACTAATGTATGTCAAGCATTATTATTAATTAACCTGCCCCAACTCTGAACCTGACCTGTGTAGCATTAACGTCTCACACAGTTACATACATTTCCCCCTTTACACTCCTCTGACAAATCCATTTCTAAAGTAATTAAAGCAAATTTAAACCCTTTATGTTCGCTTCCATTCCTACAAATTGCATTTAATTTCAGCTGTATTTCTGAGGTGTCAGGGCTACCAGTGACCTTTCCTGGCCAGCCTTTGGGCCCGGCACTGCTGCTGGGGAAGATGTAGGGTGTGAAGATTGGAGAGCGTCTGACAGCTCATCGGTCACGTCCACCGACCCTGCCGAACTGAGCCGCAGGAAGGCACTGAATCTCTACCAGCCACTAACCTCCCTGCAGGGATGCATAGCATATTTAGAGCCGTTTAATGAGTCAGGAAGTGTTTGCAGAAATTTCTTTTAATTTGCATGTCACATTTTGTTTCATGCATTTACTTGCAGAAGAAGATCTACCCTTGAACCTCAATTCCTGACCTCAGTATCAATTTTTAAGCGGTTGCCGTGAAAGATTCGACTGATGTTTTGAAGCTGCAGGCCAACTGAGCACTGTCTGGTGAAAGAATAATTCAGTCAGGGTCCCTTTAGCTTTGAAACTCCCTGTCTGAGTATCTGGAATTTGAAGAACCAGTAAAATCTTTTAAATGACTTCTCAAAGCTTATGTAATGGAAAAAAGAAGCTTTTTATGTTACTTCACTCACCGAGCACTCTATTAGGAACACCTTGCTTGTACATGCAATTATCAGCCAATCATATGGCTGGTGGTGTTGGCCTAAAGGTGTGTTTTCTTGGCACACTTTATGGGACTGGACCACATTTGATTTTATGCTAATTTTTTCATTTATTATGATTTTTTTCATGTTGAAACCAATACACTCGCTATGTGTGTACACTGTCATGTTCCATTAATGAGAGTAAAATGAGAATGAATACTATTAATTTTTTATAAGGGATCCCTGGAATATCACCTTCTTCCTTCCACACCTTTCCTTATTAATGAGGCCTGCAGGTGTCGCTGTTTTGCCCCTGGCTCCTTGCAGCAGGAAACACTCTCATTCACAGAGAGTGAGAGGCATCAGCACTCTGCACCGCACACTCCCACCGACACACATTTCATTGTCCCAAAGCCTGGAAAGAGGGGATTCACCGGACACTTCTTCTCCTTTCTGAAACCTGATTTAAAATGAAGGATTTTGCTCTTTTGTTGCTTTTAAACTGACACATTTCCATAATCATGACCCGGTAGCTTGAACCCGGATCTGCACCGGCTTTGACTGAGCGACACCTGCTCACACACACACACACACACACACACACTCTCTCTCTCTCTCTCTCTTCTTTTCCTCTCTCTATTGTCTCTGGCATCTCTGCAGCTTGCAGCCAGCAGCGCCGAGGAGGTGGAGGAGGTGGAGGAGGAGGAGGAGCGGGGTGTACCTGACACCTACTGCCGCGAGTCGCAGCTCTGTTCTCCCGCAGAAACACCCCGGAGTGGCCGCCACGAGTGCCTCCTTCTCTCGTGTGTTAGTTAACCGGAGCTCTGTGCAGTTTGAACGGGGGGAACTGTGCTTCAGCTGACAGACTGAAAACTCTTCAACATCAACACTGCAACAAAACACAGTGACGGGAACAGGAACCCTCTGAGAAGTCCTGCCTGATTCACCCGGACCCCAAATCTTCAGGATTTTTTCTGACTGACTGTAATTGTAAAAGAAAGAAAAAGGACTACACCTCAGAAGATGCGTCTCCCGGTGCTTCTCTGTGTGTTGGTGTGTCTGTGTGCAGCACCGGGCCCGGTGGCCGGGGCGGACAAAAGCTGCTCCGACCTGCGGCAGTTCTACACCGGGAAAGGGTTCACCCTGACCGAGGTACCTCAGACCGAGATCTCCGGTGAGTTTTGGGGGTAAAAGGCATTTTTTTTGGGGGGGGTTGGGGGGCATCAACATAATTTCATACACTTCTCAGCACTTATGAAGTCAGTTTTGATGATTATGAGTAGAAACATGAATCAGCTGGCTTGCTGAAAAATCACACAGGGTGTTATGATATTATAGGTGCTTCAATTATGAGGTTTCCTGATATTATTTTATTTTGTGGGGTTTCTTATCTTTTAGTAACTGGATTTAAACTGTGTCTACAACATTTCTTTTGCAACATTCCTTTAAAATACATGAATCTTTTTCATAAGAATAAAATGCTTGGCCAGTGCACTGTCACTGGTTTGACTGTGGATACCATTCGTGTTAATAAAACTGCACCTAAAGCTTGTTTAGCCAAGTTTAAAGTTGCATTAAGTTGTTGAATTGTCAATTGTCAATCAGCAGGTGTGCTTGTATTAGGGTGTACCTCAGTTTATGTGTGTTATTGTTCATTTGTCTAGCCTCTCTCCCATTTTCCATTTCCCTCTCTGAGCAATGCACCCGTCCGAACTGAAGTGTTTCCCAGTCTATAGTCTGTCCTGCACATATCTATTATAGTCCGTTTCTGGGGCATTTTCATTGTCTGCTGAGGGCATAGTTGCAGGTGGGTGTAAGCCATGTGTTTTGTGGAGCTATTATGTTCTATTCAGGGTATTTATGATTGTTTGTCTGTGTTTGCGCTGCAGGTTAAAATATAGATGTTCTTTTTGTTCAAGGCTGTTGTTGTTCAATATTGTGTTTTGGGGCATTTTTCATTGTCTGCTCTGGATTGCAGGTGTGGTGTGGTGTGGTGTGGTGTGGTGTGGTGTGGTGTGGTGTGGTGTGGTGTGTGTGTGTGTGTGTGTGTGTGTGTGTGTGTGACTAGTAGATGCTGAAATGGCCTGTTGTGTCATTTGCATAAACTAATAATTTAGGCTAGCCTGGGGCAATATTCAATAACAACTATAGCTCAGCATGCTCACAGCATCAGCTGCTTTAAAAAAAAAAGTGGAGCCGAACAGGAGAAGGGATCTGGGATCTTTATTCTTTTGTTTCATCCTGGTATCCTCTCTTATCAGTCCATAAGCCATCCAACCACCGAGGCGATCATGAATTTAATCAATCAGTCAATTACCCATCCAGTCAAATAGTCAATCAGCTGGAGATCCAGTCAGTCAAACAGTCAGTCAGCCAGCCAGACATCACACATCAAAGTGTCTGTATCTCATCTCTCTGGTCACCACTCTTCACAGATGCTGATTAAACTGTCTTGGCCTTGAGGAAAGTGCAGATGGGAATTGTAAAATTGAGTTGTTTTCCCCTTTAAGGCAATCATCTGTCGCTCTCTGTCTCCTCCCGTATTTCACCTAAAGATGGACAGAGAGCAGCAAAGGAGGAAAAGGAAGGTGTGAGTGAGGTGTGCATATGTGTTTGGACTGCGTCTGATCTGAAGGTCATTCCATGTTGTGTCGGTTGAAAAAAATAGTCTCGTATGGGTGGGTGAGTTATTAATATTGGATGTGTGTGGGTGGGTGGGTGGTTGGGTGTGTTACTGAGATTGAGACCAACAAACAGACAAGAGTGAGGCAAAGAAAAGTGGAGGAAGACGCAGACAAAAAAAAAAAGACAAAACAGAAGCAGAGAGTGAGGCAGGTTGACAGAGACAGAGAAAGTGAGTCACTGAAGGTCTCTTTCACGGACGCCCGTGAAAGAGACCCGACGCAACACTTTCCCTCCCTTTCCATTAAAGACTCATCTTTTATTGACAGATGAAAAACACAATGCTTCAGTCACTTGGACCTTGATCTGCTCTAGTTATTTGAGCAAGACTTCTGCCTTCCCAAAACTCATTAAAACTGACAAACAGATAGGAAGAGAAAGATGGCGACAGGCAGCAGAATTCCCCAGAACAGGGGCTCTTCAATCTTTCTCATTTCAGGGACCCAAGGTTGGTAAATTTAGCTTTTCTGCCCAGGAAGAGACAGGCTCCTGTGGATTCCTGTCTCAGAGTCACCCAGGAGGGTGTTCGTGTCGACCTCGATGAGATTGCTGAAATAAACAAAAGTTTCATGCACCTGAGTGAGGTAGTCATGTTTGTATTAGGAAAGACCTCGTTGAAGCTGAGACACATGTTCATTCATTCGCTTAGATTCACTTTTCTGCACCTTTACAACCATTAGGAGGAATGTTAATTGTTCGGATGATATGATGATATGATTTTATTTTGATGCGTATGAATGTGCGGTTTAGTAAATTGCAGTTTTTCTGTCCTGCCTGTAACAACACACTGTATTAATGCGGATACATTGGATGATTCTCCCTTGTAAATGAGATTTGGAATCACAAGGGGATCCCACCGTATTATACTGGTTACAATACCATAACAGTAAAACACATTCCCCTCAGTTTACTGCAGGGGAACAAGTGTAAAATGAGCGAAACGTCCTCTTTATAAAAAGCACTTTCCAAAGTACATTCAGGCTCGCATGATTTCTAAACGTATCTATTATCACTCAGTGCAGTAAACACAGCACAGATGTTTCGGCCCTGTGGCCTTCCTGTGCATGCAGACTCACATTTAGAGGAATAAACAATTTCTTAATGATTCGGGACAAGACCCAGCTGTTCCCAGTCATGAGCAGTTCATGATTAGTGTTATCCGCTGAGCACGACAGTGGTAGAGGAGGTTACTCCAGTTTACTCTCCTCACTGGGTGACAAATCGCTCAATGTACAGGATAGTACTCCTGTTAGAGATACATATTTCTGATACCAGTGCAGCACCAGCATTTCAGTGCATCCATCACCTTAATTCATCACCATTATTATAATAATGTTTTTTCCACCAAACAAAATATGACAAATGTGAAATGTCAAGACCAAGCATTCATTGTCAACTTCTGATACTTCACAATTCCTAGTTGTGATTCTCTTCCGCGATCAGACAGTATTAAGGTTTGATATGTAGATACTTTCTGTTTGTTCTCCTCAGGTCAGTCAGACATCTTTGGCACAGTCCAACAGCAGTGGCAACACAAAAGTCCATTCAAAACAAACAAACAAACAAAAAAAAAACAACTGTTGGCATGAAAGCTGTTATATTGAATGTCTGAATGCATTTCTCTCCCAATAAACATACATTTAGATTTTCACAGATGAATTCTGGCAACTATAACACCAGCTGACCAACTAGTCAAATATGATGTGCAATTTGCTGTTACATGTGTTTTAAGCAGTTAAAATCCGTCTTGTACCTGTAGATGTTTATATGTTAAGGTTTTTAACTTTGACTGGAACACAGCCATACATCAAAACAGAAATGCAGTGTCTGTAACTGCCACATATTAGCAGCATTAATGGAAATTTTGATAAAGGTAAGGTGCATAAAATTAAATATGTTCTGTCAGTCTGCAAGGGGAAGAAAAACATTTGTGATTAACACTTGACATCTGGATATGAAATGCATGTTATTGCCAGGCTTAAACAGGGTGTGAGACCTGTATTAGTTAGTTGATATGATTAATATCATAATTCCACAGTAAACAGTGCAATATAACAAGCAGATGCTCTAAATGCCTACTGAGAGTAAAAAAAAAAACAGCCCCTATTCTTGTCACTCCCTGCTCACATCTATTGTCCTATAGGTTTAACACCATGTGAATGGAAGTCGTCTTTCCTCCTGTCTGCCAGTCTGTCTTTGTGCCTGCGAGCGTTTTTAACACACACACACATTGTGCCCTTTACCTGGTCAATAGTTAAAGACTAGCTCTCCCTATATAGTGTGTGTGTGTGTGTGTGTGTGTGTGTGTGTGTGTGTGTGTGTGTGTGTGTGTGCGTGTGCGTGTATGTGTTTAAAAGTCAGTGAAAGCCAACACCTTCTTCAGGGAAGACACTTAGTTTCATTCACATGAGCATTGTCTGTGCAGAGCAGCACACACCCATGTGATCGTATGACACAGAAACAGAGGGAGACTATATGTCCTGCACACTTCATATTCTGTATTGGAAGTTGCTGAGTTTTGTCGCCTGTGTGTGTGTGTTTGTCCGTGCGTAGTGTAGCCAGCATATTGAGTATTTGTCACATTGTTGTTTGTTTGAAGCAACAAAGAGGAAATGCAGGGAGGTTGTGAATGACAAGAGATAATGTGAAACACTGGGTTTTAGGTCAGATTACCTGCAGATGAGGATACATTACAGCTTTGGTTACCAGTCAATAATTCTTTAACAAGACTGAGTCAACTAGGGAGCCTCCATTCATTTACATTTACATGATTTCGATACCCTCTCTGTAGCTACACACTATTAAGTGCTGAGGATTAATTCTGCATTATCATTCATGAGTCAAGCCTCCATTCATATTTAGTGCTAATTTTAGGCAAATTTTCAGAAAATTGGCAATAGAGAATGCAAATGAATCTGTTCCATCCACAACTCTTATGTGAGTCTGAGGATTTGGGTCGTTGAGATAAACAGCTGGTGGCGCTAATTAGCATCAAAGTACAAAAGCATTTTCCTCATAGACCGCCATTATAAAAGAGACGCCTACAACAGGACAACAGGCAAGGTCAATTATTACTCTAGGTGTCATGAATTTTAAAACATAGAGTTTTTTTTCATAAAATGTGTTTTTGTAAAACATTCCCAGAGCCAAGAGAAGTGATTTTTATCTGCATTAAGTTTTTGAATCTGTAAAGTCTATGGACTGAACATGAGTGTGGAGTGGAGCCAGTGGGAGAAACAGTAATGCACATGTGCAGTGGGGTGCACATACAACGTGTACAACGTGGAAGCAGACCTGGAAGCTAGAAAACTTTTTTGGCTTATGCGCTTGGTGAGCGATTTTCATTCAAGTGAGTGGGCGCCATCTTTGAGTCCGGTATCCAGCTCCCATTATACATGCAAGCCTTAAATGAATGAATCCAATGGGGACAATATGATGGAAATGTGGCATTTATGTTTGTTTCATGTCATAATTTGAGGAACGTTACAGTCT